GGGGGGGGGGGGGGGGCACCAGGGCAGGAGGTGCAGGCTTGGGGGAAGGGTTGGGAGCAGAGAGTGCGCGGCGGCAGGCGTGGAACTGGTTCAAAGCTGCGGGCTAGGGTTGGCCGAGCGGGCGCCTCCAGCTCTACTCTGAGCTACACCCACAATGGGCAGGAAAGACACAACACCTGCCCAGCAGGGTTGCTGTGGGCGGCTGTGGAGGGGGCGGCGCCGAGCGGCGGCCCCCAGGAGCGGCGCGATGCGGGCAGCAGCGTCTGAGAGATCGACAGCCGGGCAAAACAGCTCTCTGCACTCACAGCTCGTCCTCCTCCAAGAGCTGCTGGCTGGGAGGGAGGGGCTTGGCCAGCGGGCCGCCCCCTCCGCCGCGCACAGCCATGACTTGCCGGGCCTGAGCCGCCCGCCTGGCGAGCGCTGCAAGCCCCCTCGTCATGGGCGGCCAGACGCGATGGGGTGCTGGGGTTGAGGGGCCACAGGCGCAGGGGTGGGCTGGAGGGTGGCTGGACGATCGGGGCAAGCGCATGGAGTCGATCCGCCGATGTTTTGAGGGATGCCAACATGGCCACCGCCAGCGAGGACCGTTCTCTGCCGCCTTCCCTTGTTCACCTCCCTCGCATGGCTACTTCCTCCTTCGGTATGAAGGATTGCTCTTACACAAGCATATATGCATCCGGAGCAGCGCCAATGGGAATGGCCTGGCCACAGCATTTGATGGGCGTGCAGCAGCGGAAGCTCGGCGCCGCTGCATAGGAACCCGAGCCCAGGCAGGGACGAGCAGACCTCTTTCCGCACCCGGAACACAATAGTACTGACTTCAAATTTCACCTGCAGATTGCATGTCTGAGCAATAGAGCCGAAAGCTGGCATGCTTGCAGGTGCCGCCTGCATTGGGCAACGCCAGCTCACCGCTCAGCTGCGCGTGAACACGTTCGCCGCATCTGGGCGAGCCTGCTCTGCTGTGTGTCTCACCTACTATTGCCCAAGACGCTGCCAAACTCAGCTTACTTGTGAACTCACATGTGAGCTTGGCAGGAGAAGCTTCAGCAATTGAGTGAACATCTGACGTTCTAAAAAGCGCAGCCTCAGCCGGCATGGGGCAGAAGGAGGGAGAGGTCGCCGCCCTTGCGGCCCTTGCTGCCCCTCGCTACTGCTCCTGGCTCTCTCGCCGCAGGACCGTCTTGTTCGTGTCCTGCGCCCTCTGCTTGTGGGTCGTGGCGGTCAGGTGCGCTCGGGGCAGACCGCAATGCGTCGGGGCGGGTGCCTGCCGCTGCCGCCACCCATGCGGCTGTCGCGAATATAAGCAGACCCACCAGCCACTTCCCTGCTGCCTGTGCGCACGCAGGGAGCCCGAAAGCCTGTTCCTGAGTGTGAAGGTGGAGGCGATTGTGCCGGCGGCAGGGTCGCTGCCGCCGCCACTGCCGCGCGCCACGCGCCGCCACTTTGTGGTGGCGACCCCCACGGCCGACCACCGCCACGGCCTTGTCAAGGGCATGCGTGCCTGGCGAAGGGTGAGTTGGCCACCTTGCAGGGTTGGCTGTGCTAGTGTGTAGGTAGAGGCATGTTGCCAGCCATCCTTTGAATCGGCGCATCACGCTCCCAGAGCTGCGCCTGCTGTTGGCTGTGGAAGGCGCGGGCTGGTCTGCTCACTCGGCGTCCCATCCTTCTTGCCGCCCTGTCGCCTGGCCGCCCTGCTGCAGGGCGTGCGGACGCTGGTGCTGACCAATGCCAGCGGCGAGGTTCTGGAACGTGAGCAGGTGGAGGGGAGGCGGCACAACGAGCAATGGCTGCACTTCCCGGATGTCCCGCGGTTCAGCGTCACCAACAAGAGCGGGGACCCTCGGGCGGCGATGGCCCCAGTGCTGGCCGCAGCCCGGCTGGGCTCCTTTAAGTGGATGCTGTACAGCGACGTGCGCCCTGCCGCTGCTGCCGCCGCCGCCGCCGCGCCTGCTGCTGTGAGGCTGCACGGCTGGGCGCCCGCGGTGTTGCGTGCTTCTTGCTGGCTGCTGCGGTGCCAGCCGGTGCCGCCGCGCCTGCCAATGCCGTTGATGCGAACGCATGAGTGGCTGCCATCCCTGTGCATGATCTGCTGCAAGATGATGTCGCGTTCCTGTGGCCGGGCGTGCTGCGGATGCTTGAGGGGCTCAGCCCAGAGGACCCTTACTTGCTGTCAGGCACGCACCTGCCAGCCGCCTGCACCTCCTTGCCTGGGCCTGGGCAGGGCCAAATTGGTGCTGCTGCTCTGCTGCCAGCGCTGGGGCGCCGGTAGCCTGTTGCGAGCCAGTGCCGCACTGCTCTGGCTGCGGTGACACCCTGTGGACCTGCGGCCTTCGCCTGCCTGCCTGCCTTCCTGCCCACAGACAGCTACTGGAGCCGGTGGAGTCGCAAGGGGCAGCAGGAGGCACGGGAGAAGGGCGAGGTGTTTGAGGGCCTGCGCAACTCGCAGCCGCCCAAGCCAAGCCAGCCGCGCTGCCTGCCCTGCACATTCGACGACACAGGTGGGGGGGGGGGGGCGGGGCGGTGGTCGGCGCCTGGACTTTGCACTGGTGCACCACATGTGTGCATGGCCTGCGCCTGCCACCAGCCAGGCCACTGGATCTCCTACGTCCGAAGCGGCTGCCAGAGCAGCAGGTGCCTGCCTGCATCCACTGAGGCACAAGCTGCATGCGCCTGCAGGGCTAGATCTGCAGCGGGCCCACGCCTTCAAGACCTGCAACTGCACGGCGCAGGCCATGCACGCAGCATTCAAGCGCCTGCTCACCGGCGCCAACCAGTGGCGCGACTTCCCGCGCACCCCGCCGGTGAGGGCTGCGTGGCACCTCCTTGGCAGCTGGTACCGGCGAGGGTCGTCCTCCGCCGCAGCGTGCACAATCACCTGGCCCCAGCACACCTCGCCTGCCTGCTGCGCACAACAACATGTCGAGAGGGCCACAACACTGCCGCGCTTCCCCTCATGCCTCTCCTTCACTGCCGCGCCTTCCTCCCTGCCTCCCGCCTGCGGCCTCAGATCAACTCGATCGACGGCGCCGGCGGCGCCGTGTTCAGTGCTGGCCTGCTGCGCCAGCTGGACGCCAAGCTGTACGCATCATGCGTAGCGGGCAAGGAGGGGCGAACCGGAGGGCCCACCACCTGCGGCGGTGAGTCTGCTGCCGTGCCTGTGCGCAAGGCTGCTGGGCTGGAACTGGGACCTGAGATGGCAGGCTGCGCCTCTGGCTGGCCGTGCAAAGCACCCCACTCAATGCCTGCTGATGGGTGTCTCTCCTCCGCTCCTTTGCAGGGGGAGACTGCCTGCTGACGATGTGCATGTGGCACCAGGGTGAGCTGCTGCACGCCCTCGGCTGCTGCCAGCCACCTCAGCAAGAAGCATCCGCCTGGCTGCCCTCGGCGCCTGCTGCATCTGCTTCCAACCACCCGCTGGCGCCAGTCATGCCTGGGCCCACCGCTACCTGCTCCACTTTGATCCGCTGCTGCTAGCTGCCTTGGCTCACCTTCATTGGATGCGCATACCTGGGCCCTGCAGGCTTTGGTTACACCGATCCCGGCTTCCAGCTGCGCCACCGCAGCATCCATCCTGACATGTTCCTGTTCAACGGCGCACGCAGCGACTGGCACCAGGTGGGGGCCTTGGCCGCTGCCGCCGCTGCACTCCCGGGCTGGCAGGCTGGCAGGTCGGCAGGCCGCCAGCATGGGTCGCCGGCCTGATCCCAGTGCTGCAAGCCGCTGGCTCGAGGCGCCTCCCGCTCCCTGCCCAGCCTTCCTGCTGCCTCCCAGGCCCGACCCCGCCCTCAGTCTCCGTGCCCCTGCCGCCGCCGCCGCAGGTGGCAAACTGGGCTGCTGACGCCATGGTGGGCGCCTGCCCTCCCCTCACGCCCGCTCCTGCCACCAACTGCTCCCGCCTGTGGCTGGATCACACGGTATCGGTCCACACGGGCGGGGCCAACATGACTGACTATGGGGAGGGAGGGGCCAGGGTGGCCCGCTTCCTGCACCTCATGGCGCTCTACGCCTCCTCCTTCACGCCGGCGCTGGAGGGGCTGGTGGGGCGGCTGCGCCTGGCGTGACCGCGACGAAGCGCTGGCCCCGCGGCGGATCCCTGTTGCTGGAGATGGGCTGCCCGCAGCACCATATGCAGGCTGGCTCACCCTTGTGTACTGCCGATTTTGACGCATCACCGCCGCATCCCGCCCTCTGACGGCGCGTTGGCGCCACGACCCGACTGATTTGCTAGCACTGCATTGTATTCCCTCTCGCGAGAGACGATCTGTCCCCTCCTTCCCTTACCTGTTTTCATTGCTGCTCGCCCTGCTGTCTATGTGCTCCACGCCTAACTCCACATGCCCTGACATGCATGCACTGGCAGTCACTTTATTACAACGCTTGTAATCGTTTCACTGCCAAGGTGCGGGCACGCAGAGCTTGCGTATGGCGGGGAGGCGGTGAGACACATCGCCCATGATGGCAGCAAAGTTCACACCTGCCGGCATGGTGTTTTGATACCATGTTGTCTTGGTACAATGCAAGAAGCGTCCAAGGTAAATGTGATGGTACAAAGAGGAGAAGCTACACTGAACAGCACAAATGGTTGCGCTACAAGTCTTCTATTCTGTCCCATGCTTTTGCTCCGGCGTCGCAGCATGGCCGTCTGCTTCAGCGCGCCCGTCGGCTCCGCATGACATTCTCCCAACGCTTGTCCTCCTCAAACTGCGCGGCAGGCAGGCAGGAAGGCAGACAGCTTTGGCTGGGCGTGAACAACCTAGTGGGGATCGTGGCGTGCAGCCAACGGGAGGATGACCCACCTTTGCGATCGCCTGCCGTATGTCGCAGTTTGCCTGGAGCGGAGGGCAAGGGCACTTTGCGTGTTGGCAGGCCAGCGCTCTGTCAGTCGATCAGAAGAACATCACAAGCATGGCCGCTGCTCGACCCACCTGGCTGACATAGTATGCTGCGGTGGGCTGGTCGATGCGGAGAGCCCTCTGCAGCATGGCCGCCAGCTTGGCCACCACAAAGTCGTGGTTGCGCCCCGCCTGCCTGCCCGAGCCTGAGCCGCTCAGCTGGCCTGGCAGCGGCTCGCCGTCGCGGCAGACGACCACCATCCTTCGGCTCGAGTTCTCGTCATGCAGAAAAGCCACGCGCTGTCCCGCGGCCGCAGCCGCCGCATCGGGCACCGGCACAAACAGGTGGCTCCTGCACAGGGTGGCGGCAGGGGAGAGAGTTGCGGGCGGGCCGCAAGGGGCGCACGGGGCAGGATGGCGATCGGGGAGCGGCAGCCTGCGCCAGCCCACCACATCCCCACCTGCTGTACATGGCATGGTCGCTGAGCAGGTTGTTTATTCGCTTGAGGGCCACCACGTCGCACCCGTGCCTCACCGCCACCGCAGCCAGGGTCTCCTTGCCCTCCAGGCGGTGGCACAGCACAAAGGACGAGGCGCGGGTGGCGGCAAAGGCGGGGGAGGCGGGAGGCGGCGCCGCCACCTCACGCACGCCCCACCGCCTCCGAAACTTCTCCTCCAGCACAATGTCTGCCAGCTTCCGCACCCTGCTGCTCACCGCCTGCACCGGCAAGGCTGGAGGTGGGTGTGGGCGCAGGGTTTGGGCAAGTCTGTGTTTGGGCCGCCTGCTGGCCGAGGCGCACCCGCGCCGCCGAATTGCTTACCCTGAGCCGCACCACATCCATGTCGTCTTCCAGCTGGCGCAGCACGCTCAACAGGCACAGGTCGTCGAGCATGTCGGTGCAGAGGTTGCCAGCAGGCGCTGGCGGGTCGTCGCAGGGCGGGAGCGAGGGCGGCGGCGAGGGCGGCGGCGAGAGGAGCAAGCTGGGCGTGTCGCTGGGACATGTGAATCGGTCAAGGGCCTCCAGCAACCTGGAGGCCACCTTTTGAGACGGTGGCACTTCCGACATATCAATAGTCGAAGACAGGAGGTCGGTGTCCGCCACCACAAGGCAAGGCAGTTCTCCCAACTGGGATGGGGCGAGGCCGAGGAGGGATAGACTACTGTGCAAAGCGCTCTGCCGACGTGGACCACAGCTCCGTGCAAACCAGTGTTTCTGAAAGCTGGCGAAATCGCCAAATGCTGGCGAAATCGGGCCAAAAAACGGCTCTGGCTGGCGATTGGCCGAAGGCCATCGCCAGCAT